ATAAAACTAGCTTTTTGAAGCATTGAAAGATGAACATATTTTATATATAATTAAAATTAATTTTTTCTTTTATTGTCACAGTGATCCACTTTCACCAAGGTAGGATGTACCCAAAGAAGGAAACATCCATCTCATCATTCATTCAGTAGCTGTCTTGCTATAAGTGAACATACATTACAAATCAAATGTGGAGCCATTGTAATTCCTAGTTCCTGAACTCTAGAATTTAAATTTAAATTACAGTGGTATCTCAGGATACGAACTTAATTCGTTCCAGAAGGCTGTTCGAGTGCCGATACCGAACGAATTTGTTTCCATAAGGAATAACGTAAATTAGATTAATCCGTTTCATACCCCCAAAAATACACTTACAAAAGCACTTACATAAATGCACTTACGTAATTGTTCAAGTTTTGAGCCGTTCATATCCTGAGGTGCCACTGTATTTGGTGAAATCGTTTTAAAAATACTTGATGCAGTAAAGGACAAAATTAAATACAGTAATGTTGAATAAATATTCATGAATTTGAATGTCTTACAAATCTTCATATGGAATAAAGGACAAAATTAATATTTTTTGAAAATTTGATAATCTTCATTACTAATTTAAGTAGCCAAAATGACAAGCATTTGCTGTAGGTCTGGGGAAGGTCATTGGCCACCTATGCATTCACATATTTAGATATAAATATGTACACTATGCACAGTTAACCCAGTCAGGGTCCAGACCCTTGATCTGAAACTTGTCCAAAGGGTCCAAGAATTTTCAAGAAACTTCTAATTTTTTCTTATGAAGTGGGAGAGACTCTTTTTCTGAAGATAATAAAACAAAAGTATAAAATTTGATGGAGGGTGGGGGCAGGAGGAAAGAGGAGTGATTGGTGGAATGATGAAGTAAAGGGTGTGATAAAAGAGAAAAAGGTAGCTTACGAGAGGTTTTTACAAAGCAGAAGTGTTATAAGAAGAGCAGAGTATATGGAGAGTAAAAGAAAGGTGAAGAGAGTGGTGAGAGAGTGCAAAAGGAGAGCAGATGAAAGAGTGGGAGAGGCACTGTCAAGAAATTTTAATGAAAATAAGAAAAAATTTTGGAGTGAGTTAAACAAGTTAAGAAAGCCTAGGGAAAGTATGGATTTGTCCGTTAAAAACAGAGTAGGGGAGTTAGTAGATGGGGAGAGGGAGGTATTAGGTAGATGGCGAGAATATTTTGAGGAACTTTTAAATGTTGAGGAAGAAAGGGAGGTGGTAATTTCATGCACTGGCCAGGGAGGTATACCATCTTTTAGGAGTGAAGAAGAGCAGAATGTAAGTGTGGTGGAGGTACGTGAGGCATTACGTAGAATGAAAGGGGGTAATTTAGCACAAGAAGGCTGGTAGGCCTACATCTAAGAGAATGGGTCTGCATGGTCAGTGTGCCCATTAAACAAAAAATCTGGGTGCCCGCATGGTATTTGTGGGAAGCCGCCTCAGTACCTTTGTTCGCCATGCCTGGCAGCAAGGAAGCTCTCACTCCCCAGCAAATTCTGACTATCCTCTTCCCAAGTTATAGTTCTAATGCTGATGGAAGTGGATCTGAAGAGGAATTCTATGGTTTTGAACCATATGGTACAGTGGTACCATATGGTACAGGGACCCTAATGGAAATAAGTTTGACTGACTTTTTTGGGTTATCCTAGGTTCTCCACACTATGCTGCAATGTATGATAATCTACGTAACTGTATTTGTGTATACCTGAATAAAATTACGACCCCACATGCGCTCGAGTAAGTTTATTCAGGCTTTGGACATGCAGCATGTCCAAGCCCCTTGCACACAAAACCTCTTTTGCCACCTCCCTTCATCCTTTCCTAGAACGGCCACTACCCCTCCCCTCCACTACAGATTTATTTGCCCTTCAAGACATCCTATTTTGCTCCATTCTCTCTAAATAACCAAACCACCTTAACAACACACCTTCAGTCTTCTGACTAATACATTTAGTAACTCCATACTACCATACCCTTTTTCCCGTACAGCTTACTAAAAATATAAAGTATGTACAGTGGCACCTCGAGTTATGAACTTAATTCGTTCAGAAGGCTGTTTGAGTGCCAATACCGAACAAATTTGTTCCCATAAGGAATAATGTAAATTAGATTAGTCCGTTTCAGACCCCCAAAGGTACACTTAAAAAAGCACTTAGAAAATACACTTATATAATTGTTCGAGTTGGGAGCTGTTCAAAACGCGAGGTGCCACTGTGTATTTTTTGTTTTTTCCAACAAGTCTGCCGTCTCCCACCGAGGCAGGGTGACCCAAAAAGAAAGGAAATCCCCAAAAAGAAAATACTTTCATCATTCAACACTTTCACCTCACTCATACATAATCACTGTCTTCGCAGAGGTGCTCAGATACGACAGTTTAAAAGTCCCTCCAGACTGTCAATATCCCAAACCCCTCCTTTAAATTGCAGGCATTGTACTTCCCACTTCAGGACTCAAGTCCGGCTAACCAGTTTCCCTAAATCCCTTCACTAAGTATTACCTTCTCACACGCAAACAGCTCGTTAGGTCCCAAGAACCATTCGTCTCCATTCACTCCTATCTAACACGCTCGCACATGCTTGCTGGAAGTATGTATATACGTATATTAAAAACTAAGGCAATGTAAGATGGACCAAAAGAGTAATTTAAATTTTAATTTATTTTACAGAATAATGATGATCTTGACCTTGAAATCAGAAATCATGACAAGTATGGCAAAGGTGTAATTAAGAAGGCACGAGTGAGCCCTGATGCTTTCATACAGATAGCACTCCAGCTGGCATACTATCGTCATAGTGGAAGGTAAATTTTCTGTCATGTGAACACTATTGACATGTTATCGTTATGAAGAATAACATGTATGGACATTATACTAGTGGTTTACAGCTGTTAAATATGCCTCAATGTTAATAAAAAAAAATAAATGCTTGAGAGAATTCCACAGATGATCACTCTTATAGTGCCAGCCCTCTACTCTGCTTAGCTTACGAGTTTCTGGAGTTCTAGCATTCAGTGTTCTAAAAAGACAGGCTAAAAATTCAAGTGGCCATGATAATTGTGAGAAGAGACTTGAAATACAATACAGGTGTTTTAGTAAATACATATTGTAATAACTACTGGTATTTTAAATAAACTATATTGAATAAACAACAGTAAATAAACTATATTAAATATTGACAGTTAATTTATTTTGAAGCCTTTCACAGATCATTAATTTTGGCTGCTGTGTACTTTATAGGATATTACCAGAAGCTAGAGAGTAGTCATCAAGCTCCTTGCTTTGTTTTTCACTTTTTTAGGTAGGAAATCTATAGGGTGAACTTTTCAAGTAGTGCCTTAATTCTGGTGAAGGGCTCTTGCTCCTCCATTGTGTCAGACCTGATTACCTCCCATTCCCAGACATTGTATGATCCTTTGGATTTAGTACTTCATGAATATAATAATTGCAAGAGTGAAATCTTGCCTAGTCTGTGTAATGTAGGAGTTGATTCTTTGATTATAATATTGCTAAATTCTTGAATGTACGTACGGTATATAGTAGCCCCTACTTTGTGAACACAGAAAATTTTTTTTTTTTCATTGTTACATCACACAACTGTTGAAGTCTTATTCTTCACTTTTACATGAACTAGGAAGATTTTTGCAGTTGAAAATGAGATTAAATTTTTCAGATTTTGTCAGACTTATGAAGCATCTGCAACAAGACTTTATCAAAGTGGACGGACAGAAACTGTAAGATCATGCACTGAGGAAGCTGCAACATTTGTAAGGTATGACTTTCAGAGAAAACACATTAAGGATTAAGGAGTTTATTTCCTTGCATAATTTACAATGTGTAATTGTGGATGTTATGAATGAGAAGAAACTGGATGTCCTGGCTTTAAGTGAAACAAAGCTGAAGGGGGTGGGAGAGTTTCAATGGAGAGGAATAAATGAGATTAGGTCAGGGGTTTCAAATAGAGCTAGAGCTAAAGAAGGAGTAGCAATAATGTTGAAGGATAAGCTATGGCAGGAAAAGAGGGACTACAAATGTATTAATTCAAGGATTATGTGGAGTAAAATAAAGATTGGATGTGAAAAGTGGGTTATAGTAAGCGTGTATGCACCTGGAGAAGAGAAGTGTAGAGGAGAGAGAGAGATTTTGGGAAATGTTGAGTGAATGCGTGGGGAGTTTTAATCAAGTGTGAGAGTAATGGTGGTTGGGGATTTCAATGCTAAAGGGGTAAAAATGTTATTGGGGGAGTAGTAGGTAAATTTGGGGTGCCAGGGGTAAAAAGTAAATGGGGGAGACTTTTAAATTTAGCTATGTGTAGAAAAGAAAATTTGGTAATAAGTAATACATTTTTTTAGAAAAAGAGGGTAAATAAATAACAAGGTATATATAGCACGTAATGAAAGTGTTTGTTAGATTTTGTATTGTGGATAAAAGGTTGATGGGTAGGCTCCAGGATGGGGACATGTTTATAGAGGGGGGAACTGATATATCGGATCATTATTTAGTTGTAGCTACAGTTAGAGTAAGAGGTAGATGGGAAAAAGGAAGGGGCAAACAACAAGTAAGAGGGAGGTGAAAGTGTATAAAATAAGGGAGGAGGAAGTTTGAGTGAGATATAAAACGACTATTGGCAGAAAGGTGGGCTAGTGCTAAGATGAGTAGTTTGGGGGGGTTGAAGAGGGTTGGAATAGTTTTAAAAAAGCAGTATTAGAATGTGGGGCAGAAGCTTGTGGTTATAGGAGGGTGGGGGCAGGAGGAAAGAGGAGTGATGGGTGGAATGATGAAGTAAAGGGTGCGATAAAAGAGAAAAAGGTAGCTTGTCAGAGGTTTTTTCAAAGCAGAAGTGTTATAAAAGAGCAGAGTATATGGAGAGTAAAAGAAAAGGTGAAGAGAGTGGTGAGAGAGTGGGAAAAGGAGAGCAGATGATAGAGTGGGAGAGGCACGTTCAAGAAATTTTAATGAAAATAAGAAAAAAAAATTTTTGGAGTGAGTTAAACAAGCTAAGAAAGCCTAGGGAAAGTATGGATTTGTCAGTTAAAAACAGAGTAGGGGAGTTAGTAGTTGGGGAGAGGGAGGTATTAGGTAGATGGCGAGAATATTTTGAGGAACTTTTAAATGTTGAGGAAGAAAAGAAGAAAGGGAGGCGGTAATTTCATGCACTGGCCAGGGAGGTATACCATCTTTTAGGAGTGAAGAAGAGCAGAATGTAAGTGTGGTGGAGGTACGTGAGGCATTACGTAGAATGAAACGGGGTAAAGCAGCTGGAACTGATGGGATCATGACAGAAATGTTAAAAGCAGGGGGGGATATAGTGTTGGAGTGGTTGGTACTTTTGTTTAATAATTGTATGAAAGAGGGGAAGGTGCCTAGGGATTGGCGGAGAGCATGTATAATCCCTTTATATAAAGGGAAAGGGGACAAAAGAGATTGTAAAAATTATAAATTACAGAGGAAGAAGTTTACTGAGTATACCAGGAAAAGTATACGGTAGGGTTATAATTGAAAGAATTAGAGGTAAGACAGAATGTAGGATTGCGGATGAGCAGGGAGGCTTCAGAGTGGGTAGGGGATATGTAGATCAAGTGTTTACATTGAAGCATATATGTGAACAGTATTTAGATAAAGGTAGGGAAGTTTTTATTGCATTTATGGATTTAGAAAAGGCATATGATAGTGGATAGAGGAGCAATGTGGCAGATGTTGCAAGTATATGGAATAGGTGGTAAGTTACTAAATGCTGTTAAGAGTTTTTATGAGGATAGTGAGGCTCAGGTTAGGGTGTGTAGAAGAGAGGGAAAATACTTCCCGGTAACAGTAGGTCTTAGAAAGGGATGTGTAATGTCACCATGGTTGTTTAATATATTTATAGATGGGGTTGTAAAAGAAGTAAATGCTAGGGTATTCGGGAGAGGGGTGGGATTAAATTATGGGGAATCAAATTCAAAATGGGAATTGACACAGTTACTTTTTGCTGATGATACTGTGCTTATGGGAGATTCTAAAGAAAAATTGCAAAGGTTAGTGGATGAGTTTGGGAATGTGTGTAAAGGTAGAAAGTTGAAAGTGAACATAGAAAAGAGTAAGGTGATGAGGGTATCAAATGATTTAGATAAAGAAAAATTGGATATCAAATTGGGGAGGAGGAGTATGGAAGAAGTGAATGTTTTCAGATACTTGGGAGTTGACATGTCGGCGGATGGATTTATGAAGGATGAGGTTAATCATAGAATTGATGAGGGGAAAAAAGGCGAGTGGTGCGTTGAGGTATATGTGGAGTCGGTTTAATATGTCTATTATGCACCCCATACCCATCCTGTGGGCGGTAGTCAAAAGATTACAGAGGTACATAATTGGAGGGGTGTTAATGTTGCAGTTTAAAAACTGTAGTGTAAAGCACCCTTCTGGCAAGACAGTGATGGAGTGAATGATGGTGAAAGTTTTTCTTTTTCGGGCCACCCTGCCTTGGTGGGAATCGGCCAGTGTGATAATAAAAAAAAAAAAAAATAATTGGTCCAGGGACTGGACTCCAAAGTTTTGATAGCTGAGCAAGTTACAGAGGTAATGAACTCACAATTTACAAAGGTAATGAACTCACAATTTACAAAGGTAATGAACTCCATGTAGGTCTGGTCACAATCATGACAAGTTACAAAGGTATTTACAGATTACAGAGGTACATAATGGGTCCAGGTACTGGGCCCCCAAAGTTTTGATAGCTGAACTAGGTACAAAGGTAATGAGCTCACAAGTTACAAAGGTAATGAATTCTGTAAGAATGGTTACTTACATTTATACATGGCTACAATCATGAACAAATTATAGTGTAATGAGCAATTCACACTTCCACACCCGGTCACAACTGTAATGAGTTATTGGTGCAAATATTGATTGTTGAGTAAATGCAGCAGCGAGGAGACGGTTGGAGGCTGTGGAGATGTCCTGTTTAAGGGCAATGTGTGGTGTAAATATTATGCAGAAAATTCGGAGTGTGGAAATTAAGAGAAGGTGTGGAGTTAATAAAAGCATTAGTCAGAATGCAGAAGAGGGGTTGTTGAGGTGGTTTGGTCATTTAGAGAGAATGGATCAAAGTAGAATGACATGGAAAGCATATAAATCAATAGGGGGAAGAAGGAGGGGTAGGGGTCATCCTCGAAAGGGTTGGAGAGAGGGGGTAAAGGAGGCTTTGTGGGGGAGGGGCTTGGACTTCCAGCAAGCGTGCGCAAGCGTGTTAGATAGGAGTGAATGGAGACGAATGATACTTGGGACCTGACGATCTGTTGGAATGTGAGCAGGGTAATATTTAGTGAAGGGATTCAGGGAAACCGGTTATCTTCATATAGTCGGACTTGAGTCCTGGAAATGAGAAGTACAATGCCTGCACTTTAAAGGAGGGGTTTGGGATATTGGCAGTTTGGAGGGATATGTTGTGTATCTTTATATGTGTATGCTTCTAAACTGTTGTATTCTGAGCACCTCTGCAAAAACAGTGATAATGTGTGAGTGTGGTGAAAGTGTTGAATGATGATGAAAGTATTTTCTTTTTGGGGATTTTTTCTTTTTTGGGTCACCCTGCCTCGGTGGGAGACGGCCGACTTGTTGAAAAAAAAAAAAATTACAATATTGATTTGTTAAGTGCAAAGAAAGCCACTATCATGCTGAGGCATTTCGGGCAGACTAAACCTAATGCTTCACGGACTACTTAATACTAGACATATATCATAGTTGGTTTGAAGTGAACATTGTTTTTTTATATATCAACAGAGGTAATAGTGGTTTGGCAGTAATTAAAATAACAATTAGTTGAATAACAAGTTACAGTATTATATTTTAGCTGTCTTTCCAGGAATGCATGGTTGGAAGATAGCATCCATCTAGGGAGGCATTGCTATTGTGGCATATAAGCTTCAAGTGGAAGTATGCTAAATCTTTGCTCGAAATGCTGTTCATGCTTTGGGCTTTCAGATTATTGTATGTTTATACTTTAAAATGAAAGTCATTAACATTTGCATTTTCACCTGGCAGAATGCCATATTGATTCCTGGAACCAATAACAGACATTTATAACTCTCCTAGCTGCAGCTTCCCTGTCCATCTTTAAAAGCATAGGAAATGTACCTCCCACCTCGAGAATTCATACCACTACAGTTTTCTAATTTGTTTACTCCCTTTATTCTGCATATGTTCATTCAGTGGCGTTGCTAGGGTTGGTGTCACCTGGGGCGGCATCTTTGGTGTCACCCCCATGACATCCAAGGGCAGGGGGATGGGGGGAGTAAACTCCAGTTACGTCACTACTGCATGCCCAGTGACTAATGCTTAGCAATAAGAATGTTTAATTGCCATAAACTGAACAGCAGAATACTTCTCAACTTTATTAATAATAAAATAGATAATCGTAGTTCCAATTTGACTTTGAGTACACGTAACATATCAGTGAATCTGATCTTACATTTCCTTGCCTTCAGCCCTGCAAAATCATCTATCACATCATCAAAATCAATTATTTTCCCCATATAGGCCTATATGTACTCTGTTATCATATAAGAGGCTATATAGAAATGAAGGATTCTTCTCTTATGTTGCTGCAGCACTGTTTTGGGCATTAGTGTAACATTCTTTAGAGAGACTATGGTGTTTATCTAGATGGTGTCACCCAGGGCACCCCCCCCCCTTATGATGCCTCTGTGTTCATTAATTGATATAATATACTGTATGACATCCAAAACACATGCAGCCTCTTTTATCATCAGAACATTCAAAAAGAGCATTGTGCATCCATTGAGAAACTATTGTTTCTGCAGGTTCCTTAACACTCCAGTTAAGTCCTTTCATTTATTCTAAGGTTCACACCATCTTAGTTATTTCTCTCATCGGCACCAGTTGTCTTGCTTCTTTCTTTGTTTACTTTAAACCTCCTTCCCAAGCTCCTACTATTTTCCATCCAGCACATACTTGCTTATTATAATGAACTGTTTATCGTGGATACATCTGAATTAGTCCAGTTTACTTATCAACATTAATGTTTCCTAGCCTGCTGCTGCTGCCGCCACCACCGCCATGACCTCTTATCTTCATTATATCATAAAATTACTAATCACTCTGGTACTTTTGGTAAATAAAAACAGAAAATAAAATGGTGTTGATTTGTGGACTTTAAGCTACAGAACAACCCTTTAATATATAGTCATCCAGGATTGAATTAAGAGGTGGGCTAGCCAGGCTGTGTGTGTGTTTGTGTGTGTGTGTGTGTGTGTGTGTGTGTGTGTGTGTGTGTGTGTGTGTGTGTGCGCGCGCATGCGTGTGTGTGTGTGCGTGTGCATGCGTGCATGCATGCATGCAGCAAATCAGAGAGCAACATGAACTGGACAGATTCTCTTTCAGAGAATCTTTGGTAAGATCATTTGGTTTCTGCAGATTTTGTCTACATTTTTCACCTTTGTGACCCCCTGAATTTCATACCAAAACCATACCACTTTTGTTGAGGAGTTCTTAAAATTCTCATTAGATTTACAGAAGTAGGAGGGTCAATTTCAGCACTTTGTAAGATTGTACTGTATGTATTGAATTGTTGAAGGCTATCATTCAAGTTAATGTAACATACAAAATACCATTTTCTAAATTGCACATAATATCTCGTAAATTCTTCGAGTCATTTCTCATTGCTGTTTTTTGAGATTCTTCATTCTTAATTATATCCGGTGTTCTTAATTATATTCAGTGTCTGAGAGCTACTTAATGTATAGTTCAGAACCAGCACTCATTGTGTTCATGGGTGATTTAGGCATCAAGCATGTATGTGATTTTGAAAGAAATTTCCAGTGAATGTTTGATGCAGAGCCGAAATTGTACTCGAATAAATTCAGAGAAATCAAGACACACTGAAATTTGCTATGACTTACTTGTTTCACTGTCATTCATGAAACTAGCTTGGAAATATACAGTGCCTCAAATGCTATAGCCTCTTTAGCCAGGAGCTGGCTCTGCTTGAATGTAAAAAGAAAAAATATCCAAGAATTTAGAGAATTCACTTACAAATGTTCAAGAAGTTTCTAAATATTTCATCCATAATGACATTGCTTAGATTATAGTTAAAAACCTTTAATTTTTCTACTGTAAATTAATCACAATGTAGTAACTTTTACTCACTCCTTTGGATCAGTATGCCTCTGTAACATAATATGTTTCATTGTAATGTTTGTTACAGAATTCACTTATTTTGCAACCAACTCATTACTACTGTAAATGAATTGATTATCTTAATAAGGAGTTCATATCTACAGTAACTTTCTTATCTAACAGAATTTTGGAGTCTAGTAGCAGGGCTCATCTTGTGCCTTTAATCTGATATGCTTTCACAGTACAGGTATGGAGGTGCATAATAACAAATTATGGAAATGATTATTTACTCTATGTAATTATTTTCACATAAATTATTTTAATCACATTCATACTTGTTACAGGTAAAGGAAATGTATAATAAATTTTATTACCTATATAAAATTGAACTTTTGTGCGATATAATACCAATTTTTAAATTCTCTTAACCCATCAGGGCAATGGTTAGTGGGAGATTGCCCAAAGAAGAACTGTTGAAGCTTTTAAGACTCGCAGGTAATATCCATCAAAAACTTTACCGCGATGCAATGAATGGCAGAGGAATTGACCGCCACCTATTTGCTCTTTATATCGTGTCCAAAGGATTAGGCTATGTAAGTACTGCTTATAACCTTATTCACAAATTGGTTTATATACTGTTACCTATTATAATGTTCATAATGCTTTGTTGCACATAAGTTATTTGCCTCATTTTTTTTTTCTTAACAGGAAAGTCCGTTCTTGGAGTCAATCATCCGCCGACCTTGGACGCTATCAACATCCCAACAGCCTCAACAACAAATTCAAGCAAATATTCCAGACATCAACTTGGAACCTTTCCGAGCAATGGTACTTTATTTATTGTCTTTATTGACAGGACAGGAGGGGTGGAATGTTGCCGTTCGGAAGGTTATCTAAACTGTGATGTTGGCACGCTTCTGGCAAGACAGTGATTGAGTGAATGATGAATAGTGGTGGTGGGGGCACTCTACATTGGTGGAAGAAGGTTGATGTGTTAAAAAAAAAATACTTCCTATTAAGTTATTCATTGTTTCAGATTAAAGAGTAGAATGGAATGAGAGACAGGAGTAACAATACATGCAGATGAAGCTTCTTGATGGGTGTAATAGTAAACATGGGCTAAAAACTGAAGAGAATTTATCACAGTAGGTTAGAATAGGAAAAAGTGAAGAATAGCTAATTTAAGTTGCTCCCTTTCCAGTTAGGCCCAATTCATTCCTTGTCTATATTTCACTCCCTTATGATAGGGTTAATAATGCAGTGTTATATCTTTTATTTAGCTTTTTGTTTTGCAACCCTCTTACAATTTTAAATTTCATACTCTTACCTTTGATATAATGCCTGAGGTATGCCAAAGGGTCCAGGGTAATGAAGTAGCAGATGGAGGCAGAAAGTTTCTGTATTTAATGCATTTTGTAGCAGGCTTTTTCCTCTACTATTTAGGATGAGTGTGGGGTTATGTAATGGAGAAATAGTGGTTTTGATAGACCCTGTAAATGAGCAGCAAACTGTGCAGGTTTTAGCAGGGCATGGGTGTCTTCTACTTTTTTCTACAGGAATTGTCATTGAGATTCTTTAACAAATTTAAGGATAAGTCACACTTACCTCACCCATGAGCACTTGTAAAGAAATCCTGTTCCTCTGTGCCATTTGTGGCATCTATAGAAACCTTTGATATTTTAGAGCAAACTTTGTGAGGTTGACATGGTTTTTTTAATGGATAGTATTCTTCTCACTCGTATGATTTTTTTATTTATTTATTTTTTTTAAATCTTGTAGTACATATGTACATTATGTCTTAAGGACTTCAATGCATGTATGCATTACATTATATGTGAAGTTTGAATGTGAGGTTTCAACATATCAAGTACTGAATGACGTTTTGGTTCCAGTGTACTGTAAATTCCACCCATTTTTCTTTTGATCTGCAGCAGTTACCTTACCCCCACCACCACTTGTTTGTTACAGAAGTAATGTAGATCATCAGTGGTAAATCTAATAGCCTGCAACATTTGTTTGTTCTAATCTTCTAGATAAAGATTGAAGGTGGCATTACAAAGATTTCTTTATTCTTTCAGAAGCTATCAGTTATGGCACATTACCAAATTATTTTACGATGAATATAATGAATGTCCCCAACCTGTGTAAAAATATTTAATTCAACTCATGGAAATGAAAGTGTTATATTAAATGCTAATATTAAGCTTTATATATAACTACTGTTTAAATATTTCCATTTAGACCTCTTTTAGTACTATATGACCATTTATGAACACTGATAAATTGAGCTTTTTTAACTTCAACTATCATTAAATTATATATTAACCTATGATTTTTTCCAATTTAGTATGACTGATGGGTTTCAGGAATAAATTTCTTTCTTGTTTTTACTAGGCATATTTTACTTTTAAAAATGTTCAAGGGTATTATTTCCACTCCTCAGTCATCTGGCATCTTTCCAAATTTTCAATTAGCTTGTGTAATTTTACTGTCCATGGATGGAACCAAGAGGGGCAAATACTATATTTGCGATTTGCATAAAGACATCTGTACACTCCATGATGGGATAAAAACTAAGGCATCTTGTCACATTAATATGGACACTGAGTATCCTGTGCCATGTTAGGAACATTAAACTACTAATTATCTTGTTGCAGCCCTTGCCAAGTCAAAGGCATGACTGTCTATGTGGTTTCCTTGCAGTTACTGGCTATACCATTTATTTTCCCCCATATAAAGCATTTTTTATTGATTTAATGCTCATCATTATTAACTCTGACTGTCATGACCCCAAATTCTTAAGTGTCTGTGTTGCAAAATTTCAAAAAAAAAAAAAAAAAAAATTATGAAATGATAAAGAATTTTTCCCGATGGTAATGACACCAAAAATACAAAATTTGATGGAAAACTTACAGAATTATGCTCTCGCGAAGTTAGCGATATATACGCTTCGGTGATTTCGCCCACTTTGAGCCCTCTTTTCGGCCAATTCCATTGTTCCAGTCAACCAAACTCGTAGCTATTTCTTTAGAACTCCATTTGTTCTATTGATTGAGTACAAGAAACCATCCATTTACTGATTTCAGCTACCCAATAAAGTAGTCAGAAATTGGCAATTTGGCCATTTTCACACAAATTAAAAAAGATGCCAATTTCAAAATAGCATCCAGAATAAACAATGCAGACATTCCTGGCACTAAAATAACATTTTCTCTGTTCATTAGTCATGTATCCAGGCCCCTCTTATTACTCTTGCTTTCTATTTTGAATTTTTATTCATACAAAAAATAGAAGATTTATTGTTATGCAGATTACTACATTATTGTAAAAATGGTATAAAAAATATCAGTGCTTATGAAAGAATATTAGACTCACCAGTTGACATGTATTGGACACGTGGCGTGATTTGTTTACACGTGAACATCAGGAAAAATCAAACATTTCTGCTACGTACTTTGAACTCAATTTCAAGGTCCTTTTCATCATGAAAATAATGAAAATTGTCTCCATTTCTGTAATATGTCTTCCATTCTATCAAATGAGACCAAGAAAACGAGAATACAACCATAAATACTGTATGAAAATACACCTCAAAATCTGCGTTTTAATCCAAAAACACAGTTGGAGTTTTTTTACACTGCGCGCACTGACCACACAGACCCATTCTCTTACATGTGGGCCTACTAGCTTTCTCCCGCTTGACCTCTTCAAGGGGGGCTCCTTGGCGTGGTGAAGAGGCTCTTGGTCTGAGGAATTAGACCTGTCGGTCTCCTTCCTCAGACCGAACCTAATTACCCCCCAATCCCCCCTACCCTATCCCATCCTCCCCTTTTCCCTTTCCTCCTCCCACTCCCACCCCTCCCTTTTGCCCTTCCTCTTTTTGGCTTTTGGGATTTTTCCCACAGGCGCGCTATTTCCCTAGGAGGGGAAAGGGTCCCGGGGGCCCATCTCTTTCCCTTGGGGTTTCTTGGCGGGTGGCGTGTTTGCCGGGGGAATTTTGGGATCCCCTGGGGGATGTCCCGATCCCTCTTGGTACCCCGGGAGTGGCTTTGGGTGTTTTTTCGGGGGGGTTATCTCGGGAAGCCCCTTTGGTTCTGGGGTGGGGCCGAAGGGGGGTATGCTTTGTGCGATACTGGCCCCCCCCCCTTTTGTCCACCGGGTATGGGCAGTTTAAGGTTGCTACCCGGGTTTGCGGGTTTACGGCTGGGGAAAGGGGTATTGACGGGTTCCATGCTGCATCTCCTCCGCGGTGCTGGGTCCTTTGGGGAAAGGGAGATTTCTGGCCCTTTCTTCCTCCTAGGAACTATCCCTCCCCCCCCCCCTTTTTTTATTTTTTTTTTTTATTTTATTTTTTTCTTTTTTTTTTTCTTTAAAACAAAAAGAAAAAGGGAACCTAAACCATGGAGAACCCAATCCATGAAACCGGGCTCCCCGGGCCCCCTTTTTGATACCTCCCCGTTCTGACCCGCCCCGTCTTTGGGGCCACCTTGGGAACTCCCATGCCTTGTACCTCTTGCCCGGGGCGTTTCCCACCCTAGGTCTGGGTCTGATACTCCTTTTATTTATCTGCCCCCGTCTCCTTTGACTTGCTTCCGGCCCCTCCCTCTACGGTGCGGCAAAATTTTCTAATCGCCCCGGGCCCCTTCACGTGGCCAAATCTGGTCCCACGCCAAACGCCCCAAAACAAATTTCCTGCTGTGAACTTCTCCACCTTTTCGTTCTTCTCAGGAAAAAAAATCGCACGTCCCCGACTCCCTTTCCCTGCCATTTCGGACTCCAATGGACAAATTTTTCACTTTACGACCCCCTTCCTCTACCCCCTATCTTTCCGACCCCGTATTTGGGAAGGATCCTACACCCTGTTTGGGAAAAATATTTCTTTCATGTCTTAAGAGCGGGTACGCGATCACATTACGAATGCTAAACCCCGCTCTGATCTTTTTTTCTTTCCCATAAGAAGTTCTGTCACTTTGGGAAAAAAATCTTTCCCCCAATTCTTGTATTGGTACCGTTTTTCTGCCCCAACCAAAATTCAAACAAAATTTCCACTGTGGGGAATGAAATTTTTGAGCGTGGAACTCCAAAATCTCCCAATCCTCAAAGGGAGGGGCCCTTTCGTTTTTCCTGCCCCCAGGCAGGGATACCTGCAATGTGGCTATTTAACTTTTGACAGCCGTGAACTCCCATCCTCAGTTTATATAGCAGGACATGGGTTACAAGTTCGAAAGGTGATCCCTACATCGCAACAGTGTAGAAATTGCTGGCGATTTGGCCATCCAGCGAAATATTGCAGATCCATAGCAGAATGCCCAGTCTGTGGTGCGATGACCATTCTAATACGTCTTGCAATCGACCTCCCTCTTGCCTTAATTGTCATGAGGCTCACCCTTCGTACTCTCGCCGTTGCCAAGTCTACTTAAATGAGCGGGAAATCCGTTACCTCAAAGAGGCAGAAGGTCTCCCTTATGCCATGGCAGTTTCTCATCTCCGCCTCCAAGGGAGACTACCTCGTGTTTCTTATTCCCGTGTTTCAAAACGTCCCCTCACTTCTGGGGTCCCTTCTTCTGCAGCCTCCTCTGTGGTTACCTCTCCCATAGTCACTCCTGTATCTAATTCTTTTGCTGTCCTAGGCTCAGATGTCCCTACTTCAACGCCTCAGTCTGTTCTCGCTTCTTCGTGTTCTCCCTCACAAGACTCAGTATCAACGAAAACTCGTATGACACCTCCTCCCAATTGTCCCTCTACTTCTCAGAAGTCAAAAAAAGGTCCTTTAACCCCTCCTTCCCTTCTTCCACCTCCTCATTTTACCTTCCCTGTCTCTGTACCGG